GGGGGGAGGGAGGGGGTAAAGAAAGGAGGAGGACCAGAAAAGCAAAAGGAGGAAGAGAAGAAGAAGGAAGGGGTAAGGGGAGGGGAAGTGGGCAGTTTGAAGGGAGGGTGGAGGAGGAGGAGGAATAGGAGAAGGAAGGGGTGCGGATAAGGGAGTATTTTGGTATTTTGGTCTCACTTTTTGGCTCTCATGACCCTATCTGGCCACCTCTCACTACTTCCTCAGGCCCTGACTATCGCCAGCTTTGCCAAGAAGGGCACGACTGTCGGCGAGATCGTCAACCTCATGTCTGTGGACTGTCAGAGATTACAGGTTGGGCTATAGTTTTAGGAAGAATTTTACTGCGCTTGCAGCACAATTAAGTCATAAAAGAATCGATAAGGAAGATAAATGCTTGGTAGGAAAGAAGAAGCAAACCACATTAGAGCACCCACCAATCACCCACCAATCACCTACCAGTGGTCCACAGGTTGGGTTTTGCTGTCTCTTTTTTTCGGGGATGTTGTTGTACCATTTTCCTCGAACTGACATGCTCTGATTATGAGAAGATGAGAGAGTAAAGTTACCATAGAATTATACTCCAAGATCGCTCACTGTCATAGTCGACACTCTTTGCTTTTTATTTAAAAAAAACGTCCCTGCGAAAGGTTGCCGCGCCACAACGCCTAAATAAGATAAGATAATACTTTTTCTTGGCTGTACAGGCCGTAAAAACACATGCAGGTATACATAAAAAATTTAAAGTACGTATCACTCTCCTTAAAATTGAATATGAAAAGAGAAGTAAAGCTGACAAAATGTACATTCACATCAAATGCATCATTCAAACACATGTAAGAATTTAAATACAATGAAGGCAAACCGCCGGTCTGGCTGAGGTCGAGTGTGTACGGCACCTTTACTCTCCTTGCCGCTCATAGATCTATCTACTGACTGATGGATTGATCGACCTGCATATCGACTGATTAATTGATGTAGTGTTTTTACTATCGCATCCATACGACGAGGAGAAATCTGTGCCACCACTTTCAGAAAGGAAATTTACTCGTTAATCCAATCCGTACGCTTTGCACAGCAGTCTGTCAAAAAGATTTTTTGAGAAATACTGAAAGTTTCAAAAATATCTCCGAACTGCAAGTATTCGAAATTGTGAATAAATAACCCCGGGGGTACAAAATGTATTTCGACGGATTAATCCATGGACCTGTTTATCAACTCATCAACTGATCGACATCTCAATCCACTAAGTAATTGGTGAACCTGTCTATCGTTTAACTGACTGACTGATGCACCAGTCTGTCGATTGACTAATTATTGATGGATATGTCTATCGGCTAAGTGATTGGCGAACCTGTCTGTCGATTGATGAATTGATGGATAATATGTGATTGGGGAACCTGTCTATCCATTGATGAATTGATGGATAATATTATGTCTATCCACTAAGTGATAGGGGAACCTGTCTATCGATTGATGATTTGAAGACTTGAGAACTAGAATGTGATTGATGATTTGAAGACTTGAGAACTAGAATGTGATTGATGATTTGAAGACTTGAGAACTAGAATG